CCATGCTTCTGTGTCTCTGGATCTATTTTGTTCATCAGTTTATTTTGTTCATTAGATTCCACATGAGCTTCTCCTTCTCTAAATCATTAAGTTGATAAAATACTTCTTGAGCAGTGTTCATTTTCAGATTTCTCAAGACCTTTGAATCTTTTTTTTTTTAAAAAAACCCACAATTATCTTCTAAGTTTTTTATCTCTAAAACTCTTTAGGCTAAAGCCAGAGGCCTCTCAAATCAGACTGCCTCAGCTCAAATTCCAGTTCACCATTTCAAACTATGTGACAAGCTACTTAACCCCACTGTGTTTCAGGTTCCCCAGCACTATAGCATCTATCCTATCTAATAAAGTAAAGTGCTTAGAATGGTGAGAGCCCCATGTAGTAAGTAGCTATTACTATGTGTGAAGTAGACTTCAGGAACATTTGCAGCTCCATCAGTCCATCAGAATGGCAAACTGCCTACATGATTCTGTTTCAAATGATAACTATTGTCAGAAAAAGCATTAAATGTGCATACAATTGTCATAGCAAAGAGAACACAGCGGACATAGACATTCTCAAGTAATTTCTGCGTGACAGATGTTACTGAAGTTGAGTGGCAGAACATAATTCTCTCCAGTGGAGAAACTTGGTTTGGGGGTTTCTAAGAAACCACAGTCATAACTAGTTGGCTTTGCCACCAGTCAAGTTCAGTCATCTCAGACCTGTTTGAATGCTGAGTCCCTGATAATGTGTTTAATCCTGGTTTTACTCCCCTTTATACATGTGGAAGTACTTGAGGAAGACAGCAGAAGCGTACCCCACAAGGGGACATATCAAAACTATCCCCTGGCCATTAGCTGGAAATAGCGGAGCAGACTGTGTAATATATTAGACTAATATATCTGTGTCCCACCCTCCCGTCCCTGTGCAGTCACTCACAGCCAGGATGTCTGTGGCCCAGCACCAGGGACGATTCTGTTGCCAGATGTAAGCGCTGCTGCTGAGGAAGAGGCCTTTGCCTTCTAAGCCTATGCTTTCCGCAAACCCAACTCCCAAGCATACGGAGGATGTGCTTCAAAGATACGTATTTGATTTTTTTTCCCCCCACAGTGAAATGCCCTCTGACCTAATTACTATTATTACTCTGAGCTAGAAAAGACAAGTTGCTTTATTTGGTAATTGAGAGGAGAAAAACCTGAGCCAGAAAGACCTCCTGACATTTTATATCAATAAATTGGAAAAAAAACAAAACAAAAGAACCCACCATAATCCCCTGGGGAGGGGGGTGGGAGGGAGATCAGTAGAAATATTTGGCAATGGGCTACATGCAATATGGAAGCATTTTTGCCTGATTTTTTATTCTAGTAAACTTCCAGAGCTCTAAGAATCACATCGTTGGTTGTGACAGGTTGGAGGTTATGTAGGAGGAGTTTTAGATGTCTGAAGTTAATAACAGTCTGTGGAGATTATATTTAACCATATGTAAACATCTGGTGTGTAAAAACAGAATAGGCCCAATGTTAGACCCAGCTGGAAAGTACCAGAACGGTTTAGCTGAAGACTGTAGGGACAGCCCCATGTCCAACTGCCTCTTCTGTGGATTCCCAGGGTAGGTGATTTCTCCCAAGTGACTCTCTGGCCTTCCTTGAGTATCCAGACTCACAGAGAATTTTATTTTCCTTTCTCAAAATTCCTACACTGCTTATGATCTGATGTTTACATTCTCACCCTTGATTTCAATACAGAATAAGTGTTAAAATGGTCTAATTGTTTTTATAGGTTGATTTTTTCTCACTGTGCAATAGCTCTCTCATCAGGGTCATTGATAATATCCTTTGAACATCCAATAATTCCACAGACATAATAAGCACAGAGAAGCAGACCCTATCAACTTGACTGACATAATGATGAATTCAGATTATAACGGCAGTGTTCAGATGTCAGATCAGGCAGCCTACTTTTTCTTACCAAATGTCAAAAGGAAAACAAAACATCTCCTTCCAGAAAACAAAATGCACTTAAATATTTAGATATATATTATTCTGGTCAATACCAGCTCTGCAAATTCTGTGTGTGACCTTGGGCAAGTTACTTAACCTCTCTGTGTTACAGCGATTAGTTCAGTTAGTGAGTCATTTAACAAATCTTTCATTATTTGATTTGTGCAAAGCATGGTGGTAGAAAGGGATACAAAGGTAAAGAAGGTTTCCTCAAATCTATCTTCCAACACATAATTGAAGTTTTCATTTCTATAATTTTATTTTTTATTTTGAAAAGCTTTCCTTTTGCTGTCATCTGAATTTCATTCTTTCATTCTTTTTTTTTTTCTCTCTTAATCCTCACCTGAGTATATGTGATATGTTTTCATTGACTTTAGAGAGAGAGGAAGGGGGGAGAGAGAGAAACATCGATGTGAGAGAGAAACAGCAATGGGTTGCCTCCTAGAGGTGCCTGACCTGGGATTAAACCTGAAACCTTTTCAGTGTAGAGGCTGATGCTCCAACCAACTGAGCCACCGGGCCAGGGCTATTCTTTCCCTCTTTATAGCACCCTGTTCTTCTTTAATATCTTTTATCTCTCCAAGGATATAAATGTCATTTTTTAAATGTTTACTTTTCCCTGAAGAGCCTCTGTTTTCGCCAAGTTGCTTTTCCTCTGTTTTGTTTGTTTGTTTGTTTTCTGTCTGTCTTTCATATTACATGCTTTCCTCTAATGTCATCTTTTCCAGTGAGGAAGAAAAGCTGATAGGAAGCTCAGAACACGAGTGTAGCTTGTCAACTGTGATCTCACAGAGCAATGGCTTTCAAAATGTTTTGACCAAGTAAACAGTAAGAAATGCATTTTACATTAATAACTCTTTGTATGTGAATGTGTGTCTTAAATAAAAATTTCACAGTGCTTCAGTAGTACTTCATCACATGGCTTACATTCTCGTATTTCCTAGTTTATGAATACAACCTACTAAATTGACTTCACGATGCAGTAATAGCTTGAAAAGCACTGGGAGAGGTGGTTTGGTGGGGCTCTTTCCCTGGTCAGACCTTCTCTCTTGGACTTATTAGTCAAGCACCCAGAAGATACTTTTCTTTTTCCTGTAGGGAGAGTTCATGCCTCGTGGCCAGGGATCGGGTCGTCAAACAGGGTTGGCAGCTGGGCCCTTGATCTTTCGATAGATATTCCACAAGTGAACTGTCATTAATCACCTCTTGTCAGGTGTGGAGTTCCTCACTTCCCAGGCCCTTGTGTCGCCCTGGGCGGACTATAAACCTGTCTCTCGGGAGGAGCAGCCTCTCAGTGGCTCCAGCGGGGGAGGGGCCTGGGGCTCCAACTGCCCCTTACACTGAATTTCTATCATTCTTCCTGTTTGTAGCTCACCTGTACCCCGATTCAGAAAGAAATACAATGTTACCAATTCCCGAGTCTTATGGGAATTCTGCCCTGTGTTGGGGTTCAGCACCTGTCAACCCAAGATGTGCCTTTGTTATTGTGGCTTGTTTTGAACTAAAGGCAACCAAGACCTTGTGGGCTCAAGAGAAACTTCTGCGCGCCCTCCCCCCTTTTAACTACCTGGAAGAATTTGAGTTATGGGCCTTGCCCGTAAGAGATTATCAGCGATCACCGAACTACATGGCAGGGGAAACTCCTGATGTCTGAACACATGCTCTCCCTGCGGTTCCTCTGGAGCTCCCAGGGGCTTTGCCGCCTCCCTGGCTCAGGGTGTCCTATGTAACTCACGTCCCCTTTCTGTCCCGGAGCCCCTGGCGCCCGTGGGCTCTCCCACTCGTGGATGCAGGGTTCCCATACATGTGCATGTACTTATATTTGGTGCTTTGCCCTTGCTAACCTGACTCATGTCTGTCTGATTATTACACCAGCTGAAAGACCCTTTAGGGTAAAGTTTCTTCCCCACACCTGGAACAGGGTGTGTTCCTTTGCATTCCTCACTGATGGGGAGCTAATCCATTTTCTCCGCTTGGTTAACCCTTCCGCTCTCTTTTTCAGCTCCTAAACTGTGTTGCATTTGTCTCCTCTCCTAATGTCTTTGATCTTGGGGTTTTCTGTTTTAAAAACAAACAGCCTTGGCCGGTGTCAACCTAAGAAACATTCAAACGTGTAGAGAATTTTTTGTGGGTTTATTTGAGCCAAACTGACAATTGTCAGGAAGCAAAATCTCAATGGATTGAGATAATGCTCCAGAGAATGGCAGTTTTGCACCTTTTTTTACATATTACCATCAAAAGAGGAAACGTAAGTGGGTTACATGAAATCCACTGGTGATAGATTAGGGAGGCCGGAGAAAGCAAATTTCTTCCCCACACCTGGAGAAGGGTGTGTTGCCCAGAGGGAAACCTCTGGGATTGGATAAAAAGTAAAATTATAGACATAGGTGGGTGCAGGATAGTTAACAGTCAAAGGTTAACTCAGTAACAATGACAGGACTTGTGATCTCTGCTCTGTTCCAGTACCTGTGCCTTGAGGAGTCCAGAGAAAGGAAATTACTTTGACATTCCATAGGTATGCTATTGAAGATGCAAAAAGACAATAGAGAGGCTTAATTAAGGTGAAAATTGACCTTTGTAAGGAAAGGTTCTAGCCTAGGACATGACTACCCACTATAAACTGCTTTAGTTAAAAAGTTTTAATTTTAGACTATCCTATGTGGTTACTTTAGGTCTCTGAGTTTGTAAGGTTGCCATGCAAGCCTTCCCCGAGCTTGTCAGGTTTAGTATGCGGCCCCTTTTCATCCACACCAGGTAGCTCCGTTGGTTGCAGGTTCAGTCCTTGGTTAGGGCACATATAAGAATCAACCAATGAAGGCATAAATAAGTGGAACAACAAATTGATGTTTCTCTTGAGTTCTAATTGAATTCTCTTGTGGTCAGGGAACATACTATGTACAATTACAATTTCTTTTGAAATTTATTAAGACTTATCTCATGCCCGGCCATCATGGCTCAGCAGTTGAGCATCGCCTAGGATCCAGGCAACCTCATTCAATTCCCGGGCAGGGCACATGCCCGGGTTATGGGCTCGATTCCCAGTCGGGGGCGTGCAGGGGACAGCCGATCAATGACTCTCTCATCATTGATGTTTCTCTCTCTCTCCCTCTCCCTTCCTCTCTCTGAAATCAATAAAGATATATTTAAAATAAAATAAAGAAGACTTATCTCATGACCTAGAATAAAGTGTGTCTTGATGAATGTTTCTATTTGCTCAAGAACAAAGAATGTGTATTCTGCTACTCTACAATTATTGGATGAAATGTTTAATAAATGTCAAGTAACTAATTAAGTAAAGTTGTTTAATGGTGCTTTTCAAATTCTTTATACCCTGGTTTTTGTTTTGAGTGGGGTTTTGTTGGTCTAATTTTATCAGTTTTTGAGATAAGAGTGTTAAAATCTCCAACTATGGTTATACGTTTCTATTTATAAGGAGAAATTTCTCTCTCCCTTTAGTTTTGTCAGATTTTTCTTAATGTTTTTTGAAGTTCTGCCATTAGGTTCATATACATTTAGGATTGATATGTCTTCTTGGTAAAATAATCCCTTTATTATTATAAAATATTCTTCTTTATCTCTGGTAATTCATCCTGTTTTGAAGTCTAATTTCTCATATTAATATAGCCACTTCTAAAGTGGGTCTTTTTTTAGATAGCACATATTTAAGTCTTCCTATCTTTATTTAGCCCGGCAATCCCAGCCTTTTCATTGGTGTGTTAGGTTCATTTGTATTTGATGTAATTATTGATATGTTGAATTAAATTCCACTATTTTGCTGTTTGATTTGGGTTTGCTGTTCCTCTATTTCTTCTTTCCATCCTTCTGTTTGGTAAATCAAATCTTTGTTCCTCTGTTAGCTGTTTACCTTTGCCACCTCAAACCAATAAGAATGCAGACTTTGCTTGAGTTCTTGCTGCATAGACATGGAGATATCTGAATAAAGGTGGATCTTATCCAGTGCGTGTGGTTCCCTTCTTTCAAGGCTTACAGTTCCCTTTAGTTTTGGCCTGCTTTTGGTCCCTCTCCAGTGTCTTCACATAGTTGTTTGGTTACATTTTGCCCTGAGTTTATAATTGTTATGTTTTGGAGAGTTATTCTAGTACTAGCTACTCTGCCATTAGCCACACCATAACTCTCAGTTCTCTTTAAATCCTTTAAAAATCTTGTTATATCAAGGACAAAGCCTCAGTCTGATGTTAATGGCAGACACTTTTTGTTTTATCCGAGAATGAACAGGTCTCAGACTTTGGAAGACAGCAACACCTCATTAGAATTTAATAATTATGTTTTATATATTTTATACATCTATCATTTTATTGATAACTAATTATACTGCTTTTCCAGTTGTAGCTATGATTTAAGTTTTATACAAATAAAAACATTAGATGTAAAATTATAATGTAAAGACTAAGCATGAAACATTTAAAAAAATATATTTTTATTGATTTTTTTAGAGAGATCAAGGAAGGGAGAGGGAGAGAGAGAGAAACATCGATGAGAGAGAAACATCGATGAGAGAGAAACATCCATAGGCTGCCTCCTGCATGCCCCCTTCTGGGGACCGAGCCTGAAATTTAGGCATATGCCCTGACCGGGAATCAAACTGGTAAACTTTGGGTGCATGGGATGATGCTCAGCCAACTGAGCCACACCAGCCAGGGCACAATATTCTTTTCAATGTAAAGAAAACTAATAAGAACTAATAATACAAGGGATATACAGTTATGGCAAAACATGAGACAACAGTGCTGGGATGACTGAAGTTAGAAAAATACTGTTCAGTAACAAACTTCCTCTGATCATGAGACAGTGGTGAATAGCAGTCTAGGGCTGGGAAGAGAAGTCAGGACAGGAAATATAGATTAGAAAATTCAAAGGTTTAAGACCTTCAGTCCACTGCCAGTGTTAGAATCAGGTTTTATAACTTTAATGTAAAAGTTGTTGAGAATACAGCCATTCTAAGAGGTTCTATCTTTGGTTCCCTGAGATGTTTTCATTCTTATAGATGGTCAAATTTTGTAAGAATCAATATAACATGTTCAATTCCACTTCTGATTTATGTCTTTTATTTGATTTTTGCTTTCTATTTCCAACCATTGTGAAGGTAGCTTTAAAATACCTCTATAAATTCATTTGTTTGAATGTCTCTGATGAAACTTCAATTTCAGGAATATCTATATAAAAGAATACCTTTCTTTTTTTCTACATTGATCTTGATCCTGAGGAGAGTTATAAATTTTTCTTTCAAGTCATCTGACTCTAGTCTTGGATCAGGTCAATATGACCTGAACAGTAACACTTTTGTTATCCAAAGAATATAAAGAAAATACACCCCCTGGGAGACAGCCTTGACTAGGGATTAGAAGAAGGGGCTGGCAGGGTGATAATCCAATTAATCAGCTACCCTTTCTCTAAATTCTGCGACCAGTCCTTTCTACCCTGGCTTTTCAAGGGTTGGTATGACAACGTGGTGCAAATACTTATTTATATAAAGAAGGCAAAATTTTATTTTCTTAAGTAACTAGGTTTTAGTCAGTCCACTGTGGAGTAACTGGTTCTTTGATCTATTTTGAAGGATGGGACTGAAGAAAAAATACTTGATAATTCTGTTAAGGGCCTGGTTTCATGAACATGTGTCCTTACTGTCTTTTTTGGCTGGTAGTATACTAAAATTGAATTACATTAAACCACAGATTTTGGAATACTTAAATAACAAATACTTTTGAAGAGAAGTCAATGGTCATTTGTATTGTATTCTTCTATATATAATGTATTTTAAAAAATTGTTTTAGCCCGGCCGGGCGTGGCTCAGCGGTTGAGCATTGACCTGGGATCCAGGCGATCGGGGTTCGATTCCCGGTCAGGGCACATGCCCAGGTTGCAGGCTTGATCAATGACTCTCTCATCATTGATGTTTCTATCTCTGTTTCTCCCTCTCCCTTCCTCTCTCTGAAATCAATAAAGATATTTTTTTTTAAAAAAAATTGTTTTAAAGATTTTTCTCTTCATCTTTGGTTTTCAGAAAATTTACCAAGGGTATCACAGATGTGGTTTTCTTTGTATTTATCCTGCATGGGGTTTGCTGAGCTTCTTGAATCTATTAATTTGGGAAATTTTCAGCCATTATTCCTTCAAATATTTTTCTGCCCCATTCTCTCCCTGCTTTCCTCTAGAACTCCAATTACTCAAAGGTTAGAATTTTTTGTTGTCCCATAGGTCTTTAAGGCCCTGTTCTAATCTTTTCCTTCTTCTACCCAATCTTTTATCCTCTCTGTTCCTCAGAATGGATAATTTCTAATCATCTTTATGTTCACTTATTCTTATATCATCTCTAGCCTGCTGTTCAGCCCATCCATTAGATATTTTATTTAGGTTACTTTATTTTATTTTCAGCTCTAGAATTTCCTTTTTTTTTTATACTTTTGATTTCTCTATGATCTCTTATTTGTTTGTTAATTACAAGATATTATTCTTTATGTCCTTGAGCATAGTTATAACAGCTGTTTTCAATCTTTTTTTGCTAACTTCAACATCTGGGGAATCTTGAGGTCACTCTGCATTGATTGCCTGTGAGTCATGTTTTCTTTTGTTCCCTCTGTCTAGTGATTTTGGATTTCATTCAAGACAGTATAAATAATCACCATAGAGACTCTG